GAACGTGAGGAGGCCGAGTGGATTGCTCTGGGGCAGCGTAGTGGCCCCTGGTCCCTACGCGGATCCAGCAGCGCTGGGCGTCGAGGCTCTGATTGGAGATTTTGGCTCCTGCCAAATCGGGTTTAGGCGCACCTGGAAGAATATTACAATAAAACTAAATCAATTGTACCGTAAACCATAACAAGCATAAAATTTAAGTTTTATTTATTAGGAAGAATTTCATCATTTCAAGATGTAATAGTATGTGCGGCAATTTTGTGATAAACGTCGTTTACTAATATTCGCAATGGACACATACTGTTTATTTAGTAGTTGTGAAAAATGGTAGAGTTTGCTTTTAGTAGCAGTTAGTCCCAAGTTTCATTACGTAAGTACCGGTGGCGTTATGTTGGCCACGCACAAATAGCAGTTGAGTTTATAAAAGCCCGGAGGTTGCTGTGAAAATCTCAATGTTTGCAGCTTCATTATTTCCTTTTCTCTCACCAACAGTGGAGTTTCGATGTTAGCCAACTGATTATTGAAACATTTAGAGCAGCGACATTTGTAGATGCTAAGGAAGACAATGCGTGTTTTTTTAGTTTGTTTTAATAGCTGGGCATAGTTTTGGCGATATATAATTAACAGCCTTGCGGCAAAATGTAATTGTGTGTGCAATATTTCAGTAATTGTTGGGCTTTAGCGAAGCTAAGTTTGTTTAATAAATCTGTTGTAAATTCATAAAGATGTTAAGTTTGAGCTTTGAGATATCGATATTTTACACAGTGAATAGAACGTCGAATACGATTAGTTAATTGGTCTTAATAAGTCTTCATCTTTGTTGAATTAGTGTCTTTGGTAGTTTCTGACGCAATTGCAATTCTCCGTGCATGACTAAACCCATCCTTCCTGTCCTTCTTTGTATGTCATAATTATTAACTGACTCTACGTTTTGCTCAATAAAGTGGGTTTAATTTATGAATAGTATATAAATTTAGCTGCATCTACACAATCATTCGAATCACGCCACATTATTGACATACCTTGTACAAGATCACACCACATCAAGATTAACAACTTGTGAGTGGGCAGAAATTTATCACGCCATGAGATATTAATATGCAAATAATTAATACAAGCAAAAAAAATTTTCATTTCTGTATCCAAAACTGAGAATCAATCAGGAATAAAAGAACGAATTTCATAACAGCATACAAATATAAATAAGATTTATTATGCAGATTTTTGCCAGATAAAGTGCCATTATAAAGCAGACTCTTGTCACGTAAAACGTAATATTAATACTACACTCACCTGCCAAAATTATTTCCGGATCGGCAAAATCTACTATTAAAACATATGAAATTCGAATTTGTCAAAGTCTTTTTCGAACCATGTTTTTATAGAGCACTGCCAATAAATTTTACATAACTTTGAAGGCAATTGATTGCATTTTGTGAAAAATGACGCAAAATTTTTATTCACATATTAGTTAGGAAGTTATAACGTAATATTGTTCGCCATCAATTATTTCTCGATTGCTGATTATATTAATATTTATAGATTATTATGATCGACAATAGAAAAAATAATTGATGGGCGAGCAATATTACGCCGTTATTTCGTAATTAGGATATGATTAAAGTTTTCATGTCCTTTTTCATAATAATCAATCGGCTTCCGAATCATGTAAATTTTATTGGAAGTTGTCTACGTAAAAATGGGTGAAAAAAGACTTTGAAAAGTATCAAATTTCATATGTTTTAATAGTAGATTTTGTTGATCCGGAAATAATTTTGGCAGGTGAGTGTATAACTGTGTAGT